ACTTGAGCCTTCGGCTCAGGTCAGCTAAAAAGAGAAATTATTCAAACTAATTTAGAATTCAAAATACAGAAAAAAACATTGTCAGTGATAAATTGTAATTGCCGTCAAGGTCATTGTATGGACCATAGAACTAACGAAAGATGACTTTAATAGAGGCTGTTAATATTCTGTTTCATCGACTTGTTTGTCAATAATTTACCTCGTTTTAAAAATTGTTCACACGTAGAGCATGCTCTTGTATGGCGAATCAACTGAGGTACATGTATATAAACCCCGTATGCAGTTCAGTTTAAACGGAACAGATGTTTCAGACTCTTTGGTATTTTTTTATCGCGTGCTCACAAGGATATATCGTAAAGACATTTAAAACTGAAATTCCAATTGTTAATATACATTCCTAAAATCGTATAGAATTCATAATGAAACATATCCATTATCTTGGAAATTTTTAATACAGTCATGAGACAGAGAGGGCGATTTGCAGGATTCTCCATTTATCTTTCAAACACAACCAACAAAGAGGACTGGGTTTTGTGCTACAAGGACGGACCAGAACTACCTCCTTTGGACTTCAACACAACTTGCATGAAATACGGGCGATACGTCATTTATTATAACGAAAGACTGAAGGGAATAACGTATTCCGAAACTATAACTTATACAGCCTTATGTGAAGTGATTGTTCATGGTAAGCAAGATTTTGTTTTATGTTCAGTTTTTGGCCTGCTTTAATTAAAGACCCTTTAAAAGTGGTTGGTTTAATTGTTTAAAAGAAGAAAAAATCAAATTTAAATTACTTGCTCTACTTAGCATCGAGGATGATACACAAATGAACAAAATACGCAAGTAAAATTGTTTTTTTTTTAATCTAATACAGTTTTTGGCGATTGATATAGCCTATGTATATAACGTATCGAAAATTATGAATACTAAACTATGCCTTTGTGTATGTTTCATGTAAGCTGCACAGTATTTACCCGGTAGTTTAAATAGTTTATATATAAATAGCTAGATTAGGTCACATTACGACTGATGACCCATGGGAAACTTGATACAGATTTGCAGATATTTGCTCTCTGCCTGTTCATATCATAGAGAGATACAACAAAATTAATGTTTATATTAAAATTTACTCACGACAAATTGAAAATCTATTGGAAAATGTCAATACAATGCATCAAGCCACAGAAAGCAGATAAACATTTTGATACGGCGTTGTCTTAACAATGAAAAGGATCGCAAATGTCTCTGTGTCTACATCATTATAATTATGCCTGGCTGAATCATAGTTTTAATGTTAATGATAAATATGTTATAGGCCTACTTGTTTCAAGTTAAGTGGCTCGGACATGTGTCTCCACACATCCCTTTCCGACCGAAATTTCTCCAACTTTTAATCATTAATTCGGAATTGTTTCTTGTGTCTTTTTCAGGCTCGAATGTCGATTCTCACGAAAACAAGAAATTCCCAGACATCAGTCAATTCACTTTTACTCATAACAAAAAACATTTCCCCAAATATTCCCCTAAAAAAAGAATCCTTTTTATAATGATCGAATCGATTGATGGACTGTATACTGTTTAACCTCCCTCTCGAGAATTTTTCACTCAATGGAGACTCTTTTGTCTAATGAATGCGAGGTGAAACCGTCTTCAAGCCGATTTACATCTAAATTTTGTCAAAATTTACAGCAAACAGTTAGTGCAATATATAAATTACATTCAAATATTGTCAATTTTCCGTCTCAAATGCATACATGTATATACGTAATATTTGTATTTTAAAATGTTTTCCTTTATATAACACTTCTCAAAGCAATGCATATCTACATTATTTAAGTAATAATGTATCATTTTTTGAGTGTTATTGGGATGTAAAACGGGTTGGTCACGTGATCAAATCTTAAAATGCCCGAGGGGCTTTATGAAAGATTTGACCATGTGCCAACCCATTTTACATTCCAATAAAACTCAAAACATGATACCGTTGGCTTATTTCTTATATAAATTTACATTTGTGACTAATGTATTACAAAAAGTGAGGTACTTTAGTGAAGTTTGAAATTCATTATTTTTTTTTATTTTTTCAAAATTTAACGGTATAAATTTGAATGTGTTGATAACGTCGATCGCTCATGACGTCACTATCAAATTACATAGATCACTTATGACTTAACGACGACGGACCTAATTCATTTCTACAATAGAAAATTTACTCAAATTTTAATATGAGGTAAAGTGACTTTTTGTGAGTTAAAATCGATGAAAAAAATATATGGTCATCGATAAAGATCTTTAATAGGGAGCGTTTCAAAAGTAGGCAACGAAAATCGATGATTAGTATAGGAAGTAATGGGAAAATGCGAGTTTGTGGTATAAAAGTGATGATTAAAAAAATTCTGCAATAGAATTTTTATTCATATTAAGAAACAATGTTAACAAGATAATTTAGTAGCAAATAATGCCAAAAAATAAATAGGTCATCGGCCTAGGTTTTTTAAGGGGGTGTGTCAAACTCTGGTGAATGGCATATTTTGGGGGAAAATTTTCGTTGAAAATACCTTGGCAAAATAAATTGTGTCGTTTTATTTCCCTATTCTTCAATTTACTTTTACACTAAATAAAAATAATAATTTAAAGTTGTTTAAAACTCTAGGGATGGTGATAAAGTAGGATTTATGTGAAATAAATGCGTATAACACTCTAGGGATTGTCTCAAAGTACGATTTTTGTGACCCACGTCCCATGGGAATAAATATCTGAAAGCCTGATTATTTCAAAAGTTAATATTTTCTTAGCATACCTGTAATTAACTAAAATACTTGTACCTGATACAGTGTTTGTCAAATTAAAAATAAGCATAGATAGTAAAAGTTTAAGTATAAGGGACTGCTTCAAGATAGGTGTTTTTGATTTTTCGTTATATGCGTGCTTTACTGTATACAATGTATGATCAAATAGTCAAATACTGATGCATTCATCACGAAAATGGTACAGAAAAACAAAAGGCTCGTGGGCGACATTGCTCACCTTAGTACACTGGCTAGAGAAAAAAAAGCCAAAATCACTTCAGTATTGAGAGTTTACATTGGGGAGGGGGGGGGGGCTTGAATTTTAAACAACCTGATGATGCTTCCATATCAACATAACAACTGGCTTTGCTGTTATTGAGCAGATAATTTTTTAAAATTTATTCATTTGACACCCCCTCACACATTATGATCCAGCCCTACCCCTTGGCCCCCATTTGAACCAGTACAACTATTACTACCTTAAGATTTTTATGCCCCCGTAAACGAAGTTTTGGGGGGTTTATAGTTTTTGTCGTGTCCGTCCGTCTGTCTAGCTGTCTCTCTGTCCACAAAAACTTTAACCTTGCCCATAACTTTTGATTTATTGGAGCTATGACTTTCATATTTCATATGTGTATTCCTTGTGACAAGACCTTTCTTTGGGTACCACCAAATTTGACCTTGGAGTTTGACCTACTTTTACATGAAAATTTTAACCTTTTATTTTAGCTATATCTTTTGAACAGTAGACACCAGGACATTAATATTTCAAATGTAATGTTTGTTGAAAGACCTTTCATTGGATACCAACAACCTTGACCCTTTGACCTTGTAGATTTCCGTACTTGTGAAAAAACTTTTAACCTTGGCCACAACTTTTGAACAGTAAGGGATAAGGCTTTCATACTTCATATATGTAATCCTTGTGAGAAGATCCTTCAATGGATACCAAGAACTTTGACCTTTTGACCTTTGAGATTGACCTACTTTAAAAAAGCAAACCGTGACCATAACTTTTAGTGTTAGGGCTAGTGCTTTCATACTTTACATATTTGATCCTTATGACATGACCTTTCATTTGATAACAAAAACTTTGACCCTTTGACCTTGGGGTTTGACCTACTTTTTAAAAAATTGAACGTTGGCCATAACTTCTGAAGGTTAGGACTAGGGCTTTCATGCTCTACATAAGTATTCTATGTGGCAAGACCTTTCATTTGATACTAATTACATTGACCTTTTGACCTTGACCTTGGAGATTTTTGTACTTTTAAAAAAACTTTAACATTGGCTTACTTACAAATTTCACAATTTCACAATTGTTTTCCAGTGAGAATACCCTACTCTTGGTACCAATTAATTAAATTTGCATTTAAGGAAACCTTAATCTTTGCTATGTTGCCATACGGGGGCATCAGTGTTTCACAAACACACCTTGTTTCTTGGTAAAACTTTGATCCCCTATTGTGTCCCACCTTAACCCCCCCGCCCCCATCCCCCGAGCTAAAATATCTATCAATTTGTAATCTGGGAATGTTTTCGCAAAATTTGACAATAATGCACCTGTGTTATTTTACTCTGAGTCTAGGCTACTATAATTGTAAAAGTATAAGAATTTCACACACAGGTAAAATACTTTATTAATAAAGTATTTTACATTTCAGGACAAAATGATGACAGGTATAACAGATTTAACTATGGAGTATCAAACAGTACCATTTGGTATCAAATACATGCATTGATGAAATTTAATATACAAAAATATTTTACTTGTATATGTTTGTGTATAATGATTTCACTTAGTAATTTGAAATAGCTACATGTATTAGCTGTTACCTTATATAAAAACTTTGATTTTTTTAACTAGTTTTTTTTTTATGAGATATAACTTATATACATGTGGGGTGAAACTAACCATACACTAACTAGAGTTCCTAATTATTTCATCACATCTGTATATCTAAAAAATGATGTACATGCTGTTTACATGTAGAACAACACTATAAACTTGCAATATTGTTACATATGAAAAGTGAAAAAAAAAATTTCCCAGTGGCTAATCACATATTCCGGTGCTGTAAAGTTGGAGGTCTTTTGGTTGAGAGAGTAAAGGTTGGAACAGCAGATATTGGCACACTAAAGAACCCTCACTCCTCATTGCTCCCAAGTGTCATCCACTGCATCTTGTGACTTCCCATCAGGGTTAAATAATCTTGTAACATGTGTTAAGCTACTACAATCAATCCATGCCGGCAAGGTGCATTTTTGGAAATGCTGGAAATTCAAGAAAAATTCCTGACGACGATGGGTGCTCCAATAGATGCAGCAATTTGAACTATCGGCATATTGTTGTTTCTACCTGAAATACACAAAAAAACTATGTGATATTCAGATAAATAAGGCGACCATAATTTGATTTTTAGCTTTACGGATTTTTTTCAAGAAAGGTCAAGTCGGAGGACGAAAAAAAAAAAAAAAAAAAAAAAAGACAAAAATCATTCTAGCAACGACCTTTTTCACATATAAAAAGTCACACATTTCACTGTAGTATAAAACAAAACAATAAACAACTTACAAGATATGTTTTTTTTAATATTAATACACATTACTTGTATAAATGTTGTTATTTATAAAAATGACAACTTTTAATTCAAACATTGTTTAATATGAGTACCATTTAATATTTGAAATTATATAAATTTAATTATGTTCTTCACTGTATAGTTTGCACATTCATTTGAATGTCATTTGAATAATATTCAGGGTAAATATCGAAGTTTAACTTGGCAATTAAAAGATTTAATAATATTCTGCAGACGATCTGAGTTTCAAGCTTTTAACTGATGGATGAATGGATTTTTCTCATTATAAGGAGCAAGAGAACTGTTTCCTGGATTTAATAAAGATCTGAAATTGAAGGAATTGGAAGTACCTGTTAGCCAAACTTAAAACTTTAAACATTTTTACAAATTACATGCGTAATCTATTGAGAATGAATTAGATGGATTCTTAGATCCTGCATTCTTTTTTTCACTCTTAGTACATATGATATCAAAGCATTATTGTAGTCCTGTTCCAATCTGCTAATATTATATTTTGAAATTCAGAAACTTTATTACCCTGTTTAGCTACTTAAATTCAAAGAAGTCTTCTACAGGTACTGTCAAGTTGCTCTGCAGTTTCAAGGGCTTTTATATACTGGTGTTGATGTAGGATTTGCTAAGTCACTGAATCTCATAATACGCAGTGTTCCCTCTGCAGACTCTTTATTAGTTACCATGTACTTGCTTTCATTTCCTCTTTAAATTATTAATAAAGTACTATAGTTTATGTCTTTCCTGGTCACCGTATTATTTATGGAGGAATTGTTTTGTTTTAGGCGCATATAAACTTGTTTGCAGCAAAGTATCAAAAAAATTCATATCGTTATTTACCGCCCTTTTTGCAAAATTTCCACATCTGGTATCTCTGTCTTTGATAAAAACACTTTTTATGAGGATAATGAGCAATTAGAACTGCAATTACATCTGGTAGCACAGTTGACACCTTGATTATTACCTGTTATCAGTGGCAATAAGCAGATTAGCTACCGGTAAACACTGCATGACAGCCATTTTTGTTTTGACTTGTCGGTATTTTACAAATCGAAGAAGGTAAAAAATCCGGATATTTTCGAAATCGGTAGAAACAGCAATTAAAAAAATAGAGAGAGACATGCGATGGGGAGGTTTCAGAATCGGTAGACTCTCGATAAAATCAAAGTTGACAGCTCACCTTCTTCTACCATTCTGCACATGTGTTTTTTTTTTACGTTTCTGACTGATTTGCTTTTATAAAACACAGGTTTGACACGAGCGGATTGAAAAATTCCGATTTTATTTTTTTTTTGAAATGCAAATTTTTAGAGTCGGCGGATCCGTAAAACTAAAAATCAAATTATGGTCGCCTAAATAACATTCAATCAATCAAGTGTACACAATTTTTTGCATATTGTTAACAAAGGTAAAATAAAAAAAAAAAAAAACACTATGCGCCCAGAGGCAACAAAGATTTGAAAAGCTATTTTTAGCTTAAGGGTCACAGTCAAGGTCAAACTAAGGGTCATTTACCTTGGTGTCTTTTGAAAACTTAATTAGTGCAGTATGCATACCAAGTATGAAGTCTCTATCTGTTAAAAGTTATGCAGATAAACAAACAGACAGGACAAAAACAATATCCGTCTCGGATCTATCGATTGGGGTGCATAAAAAATATATGAATAAACTGAAAGACTCAAAATAAAAATCAATATTCACACCCTAATAAAGCATATGATTAATCAGTATTGTCAGTGTACAAAGAATAGGAGAATGACTTTTAACATTTATCTCCCTTTTGAAAAAGTCATGAGTGAAGTTTTCATTTTAAAAGACTTCAAAAACATACCTAAACAAGTCTTGGGTTTTTTCTTCAACAGCAGGTATTTTCTCAGTACAAGTATCTCAGTCTGCAGATTTTTTCTGTGGTAAAAAAAAAAATAAGACATTAAATTTGAAATGCAAAATACATTTGAGTATTGTGATCTACATACAAGTACATGCATCTTAAATTTGTATAAAATAGTATTATCAGTGTGATTCAGTTTTGAGTTATTAATTTTTTAAAGCGGCGAGTGCATGTACTGTAAAAGATGAAGGCAACTTATTATTATCTTTTTTGGAGGAAACAATTATGAATGATACACAACTAATAATTCAACAACTTTTTGCATTAAAACAAATGATTCAAGGGTTCGAATACCGTATAATCCCTATTAACCGCCCCGGGCGCTTAGAAAATTGTAAAAAGGGGGCGGTTTTTTTGGTACTCTATTTATGATATTCAATGTCATATTTTAACTATAAAAAATCTTTTGATAAAAAAAAATAAATACAAGGAACCAATAAAATAATGTCTAACTTTACTTAAAGTGAAGATAATCCACCCAAATTATGCTAAATTATTCATTACCATTGAAATATATGATAATAGATAAGTTTAATTTTCACTTTCTTCAATATTTTGATACGATTCTTGTTGATTTTAATCACTTTACAGGGGGCCCTTATTTCCTGACAATTGAAAAAGACCTAAGGGGGTGCTTATAGGAGCAGGGGCGGTTAATATGGATTATACGGTATATGAAGTATAAGATAGCATACTTGAGTAAGCCTTACTTGATTCTAATTATTACATGTCGGTAACACAGGGGAATTACCAACAACATACATGTAAAATCTTTAAAGAAGTTTGCTAGTTTAATTTCATTGCTATATAGGAAAATTTTATCAATGATTGAATGAAGCTAGCACAAAATACATATACATGTATTTAAAAATAAAGTGATCAGCCTGTTTCAACATTGCTGGTACTTTACTTGATTCATCTCTAAGCAGGTAAATAGCCAGGTTTATCTGCATGGCTTTATATTTAAGCTTGGTTGAATATTCTTTGAGAATTAAGTATGCTTATAAATAAACTCGACTACTCTAATAAGGTATTTTGCTTAACAATAACATTTACAACCTATTGCAGTTGCATCCAAAATCTTTAACATTTTTAAATAGACTTAAAGATGCATTAAAAGAAATATATTCAACAATAATAATAAAACATAATGAGTAAATGCAACATTTAGCCTAAAACAAAAAATCTAAATATGGTTACCTGTTCCAAATGAAATACTGAATAGTGTTGATATCACATCAGAAATTTCAAGCTTTGGCAGCTGTTAGGTCCTGGCATTCCGGGCTCTTGTTTTCTCCTTCATTTACAAAACTTTTATGTTCATTTAGCATCATGCATGTTTAGTTCATCTTTAGGTTGAAAAGGCAACGTAACAGACATTATTCAGAAAAAGATCTTTTCTTACAAATCATCTCCATCAGAAACATCAACTTGAACTTATTGTCTCAGGCCACGGTCCAGAATTCGCTCTAGAATCGTATCGATAATGAGAGACAAGGGGGTCGTACATTTGTCCGTAGTTTATGACGATGTTTGTTCTTGCTGCACTTCATTTTTTAATGAAAAACGAAGCTTCAAATGAATAAAGCCAGCCTAACCGGCGAGTCAGGAAAGTCATCAACATCACAACACGTTTTTGTTTACTCGCCATGCGCTTATGGCAAATGTCGTAAAATAATCATTTACTTATAGAATCAACAAATGAATGTAAATCGAATTGTGTAAAATATTTTTGAATTGGGAATAAAGGTATAAAACTCTTTGTAAACATTAAAAAATGTATATCAATCATCTTTAGCAATACATAATTACGTCAATCTGATTCAAGGCAGATGCGTGACTTCCTGCGCAGTGGCGCGAAATTTCGAATTAGGTCTGTCGTCCTTAACAATCAATTTATGGTCACATGACGAACGTGTTTTACGGAGATGTAAAAACGCCTTCAGTTGTTCAAATAGTGTTACAAGGGAAAACATTTGCAAATGTAAATGTATATATCTGTATAAATACCGGTTCGAGGTCAAAAAGTCATAAATGTACATTATCACTTGTTAAAGTAAGTTTACATCATTTTTCTTTTCAAGTTTATTAGCTCATTGACGGTTCACATGATTTAAATTCATCTTGAAAAGCATGAACGATAAAACGATTCAAAGTTAAATATTCCTGAATCTATCTGAAAGGTTTTCAAATTCTTGTATAGGTTGTTCTACACAAGGAGCTTATGGAGTTAACTGTGACCAAGCTTGCCCTAAAAACTGTAGAGATCATAGATGTCACATACGTTATGGAAGTTGTCAATGTAAGCCAGGATACACAGGACACTTTTGTGATACAGGTACATCTATAACGGTAGATCATTTAAAATGAAAATTCACCCCCCCCCCAAAAAAAAGCTTTTAAATTCTTCAATAAAACGTTTCCTAATGTGGAAAAAAGTATTCACAATTTTTATACTAATAATATATTCATATTAATTCTCTGAAGAATTTGATATTATATATTTAGGCCTTTCAAGTTTAAGTGGACACCTTTTTATGGAATAAAACAGTTTTAAAATGAAAAACGTGTATCTTTAGAATTATATTCAGGTTTTAGATAAATTAAAAATGTTTCTAACTGATTTGAATGAAATTTCAATAGATATGTTATAAGATGTTTAGATAACTTTTCAACAAACAGAATGTCCGAATAGATCTTTTGGACTTGAGTGTAAAAACAAATGTGTAGGACATTGCAAAAACGATAGTCCTTGCCATCATGAGTTTGGTAACTGTACAGAGGGATGCGCTTTGGGATGGATGACGACCAATTGCGCTAAAGGTAATTTCGTTTATAAATTGGAAGTTTTAGGATTATCTCTTATTACAAATGTGCCAAACATTTATTAAAATCAATATATCCTTTTTCATTTCAAAGATTGAAAGTTAAAAAATTTAATATCTCATTTTTGACGTCCATATAAATCAAACTTTATCAAACCAAAAACAATATATATAAAATTAAACAGAATGAAAAGGAAGTGATCTTCAAGCAAATTCAAGCAATTCAGTATAATATTTTGCAGGAAAATCGAACAAGCCGTTTAAAATAACTCGCATACAAAATAATCGACTATGCAACATTAATTATACTGAAGAAAATATCTTGCAAAGCAAGGAAAAAGTAATTTTACGGACGATAGACGCTTAAATATTTGATATATGATTTATTTTCTCTAAAAAGATTACAACGAGGAAGAATTTATAAGACTTTAATTGTCCCATAGCCATTATTATAACTTTCGGTCTCCATGTTGACTTCTCAGACCGGATGGTTGTCATTTCAGGTTGATTATGAAAGTCACAAGGCCGGAAAAAAGTATCTGACAAAAGCTATGTAAATGCATTGTCATGGTTGAGTAAATAAAATCTTCATAGACGCAATTGGAGATATAAGGATGGACCTTTGTCATTCTAAGTCAAAGCATCGTTATTTGAGGTCACACTGCCCACTTTTCCTTAACTTTATACCGATGGCTTTTGCTTAAATGTGTTTGCATCTGTATGTAACTAACATTGTTAATAGCCAATAATGCACACAATTCACAAAAAGAAAATATATCTTATAAATAACAATTTTATTTGACTATAATTAAGAGTTAGTTATTAGATTTCTCCTTTTTCGATTAATAACTCGTAGCAATTTCAGTTGAAGAAACCGCACGCTGTTGTAAGTTCTCAAGATGAGTTTAAATTCAGAAAAGTATTTTTAAATTTGTTTTTTATATATATTTGAATATCTACTTGAATATATATTTGCTAATAGACTAGCAAAGTAAATTGTAATACTATTTCAAACCAGAATTCTCCATGTGTCCACATGTGTCTGCACAAAAAATATCTCCATCTTCTATACAACGTATTTAATGAAGTATTGCACAAGACCTGGGGTCTCGTTTAACCAGTCGCTCGGCTTTCTCCGTAAATTCCGACGCCATGTGACGGCGCCTAGGTCGGCAAGATGTAAAATGATATCGTTGTTTTTTTTTTCTTGATGCATACAATGTCCACAACAATAAAATGTTTTAATTGCATGTTTTTTGGGGATTTTCTTTTTCGAAACTCAACATAATGTGAACATGTTTATGTTACTGATGTCCCTGAAATTCCGAGGTATTCTAACATATTCCGACTTTTTCACGTATGGGCGTTTAAGGAGCTATGGCTCTTCAATTAGTAAAATTACGTACTGTCCATAAGCGCCTTGGTTCTACCTGCGGGCTTTTTAACATTTTTAAATATCTCTAACTGTGTCAAATGTCAAAAATGCAAAATTCAAGTGGTGATTGGCATACATGTAACTCAAAGAGTTAATTGTTCTATCTTCCCTCAATATTTCAGGATGCGTTTTGAGACGTTATATAACAAAATGCGGAGAAAAGATGTGTAAAGTAAAAATGAAAATCTGTTTCAAATGCGATTAGAAGAAATTTCCAAAGAAAAAAAATATGATCAAGAGGTGTATCATTCCAAAATAAAATTCAGCTAGTTACCGTGAAAGTGTGTGTACTAATGATAATAATAACATAAGGAAAACATCAAAGTCTTCATCAAACATCAAAGACGAAGTCGCAAAACCTTTAACTGTAGAAAACAAATGCCAAGGTTTTCCATTGAAGAACTTGAAAAGAAAGTGAAAAGAAACCTACTTACAAGAAGTTTCTCGCTGAAGACGTAAGACATGAATGACATGAACTCCGGGCTGAGATATTTGACATCTCCTTGTTAAAGAAGTAGAATTGCTCTAGTGAAAGTTTTAGTCAAGAAATAACGTTTGCCCTGCATATCCCTAACCTGTGAGATGAGAACATGTGAAATAAAATCATTAATACATGCGTTGAATAGGAACTGCAAAACAGTTAAAATTGTCCTTACCAAATACAAATTATCCAGATAATGTTTTTAAAATGATACCTATTTTTTTAAATACTTTACCTTTTGAAAATATTTTGGAGTCTGGAAGATATTAATACATTATATGCTAAATGGTAAAAGAGATATTTAAATTATAGAGTGTGAAGATGGAAACTTCGGCCCGGGCTGCATTCACAAATGTAGTGGGAATTGTAGGGATAAATCACAATGTAATAAAGCGACAGGAGTTTGTGACTTTGGCTGTAATCCGGGCTATACAGAACCTTTTTGTAACACGAGTACGTATAGGAAAATGTTGTGCCTGAATTTTTGTATTCAAAATTATGAAAAATAATATAAAACTTATTATATTATCGGTGAGATAAAAATTTTAAAATATTTGTTTTGGACAGCATGTGCAGATGGGAAGTTTGGAATCCAATGCAAAGAGGCTTGCAGTGGTCATTGTCTTAATCACTCAAAATGCAATCATATAGAAGGAAGCTGCAATAAGGGTTGTGAAAATGGATATACAGGAGATAGGTGTAACAATCGTAAGAAATAAATACAAGAGTTCATGTATCTAAATCCATTTACTTATTTGTTATTGTCATTAGAAGTTATTGTTTGTTTAGGTTTTCAATAAAAAATAGCACTTAACAAAAAGTCATCTGTTAACAGGTTAATTAGATAGCTAATATATACTATTTGTTTCAGCATGTGAGGATGGCTTGTTTGGTGTAAATTGTTCTCAGAAATGCTCACTTAATTGCCAGCAATCTCAGAAATGTAATAACAGAGACGGTTCTTGTCCTTGTTCTTCTGGTTGGACTGGACAACACTGCAACAAAGGTTAATCTTGTAAAGAACCACTATGCAGTTTTTATGTCATACTTCACTGGCAAATGATGTACTTAGCATTTACGGTAGTCCGATCCTCATGTTTATAAAATTAGCAATTAAGTAAACAAAAATACTCATAAAAGTATCCCTAAATCCACAAAGTTATGTAATTTTATCCACAGTATTTCTTTAAAGTTAAACATCAAAGTTAATCATATTATATAAGGAAAATTGTCAAATCTCCAATATTTTTGTAGAAAATACGAATTGGAATATCAGCAATGCATTTTATAATTGCAAATTGATCACCAAATATATTTTAGGCTAAAAAAACCCATAGGTATCCAGGCATTCGGAGAAATTGTCATGATTTTTATACTGATTTGGTATTTTGTATCATCTATTCCAGTCATGTGTTCTATAATACATAGTGTAAAAGGCTTTTGCTATCATTGCTAGACACCATAAAGCACTTCTCATTTCATACCATGCTATAAAGCATTGATATCTAAGGCTGGATTTAAGAAAATCTTATTTCTCTATAACTGTACTATTTTTTTCCTCCTCTAATAGGGTACAAATGTCAACTTTTATAAGACCCTTAAAATTTATAAGATTTCTTAAACCCTTGAATCTTATGATTGATTGATTGATTTATATTGTTTAACGCCGAGGCGGCAATATTTCAGCCATATTTCGGCGGCTTGAATCTTATGAAGATGAATAAAATGAAAATTAATGCTTGAATTCTATGAAGATGAATAAAATGAAAATTAATACTTGAAAAAAAAATTCATTTTCAAGCTTCATTTTGATGCATTTCAAATTAAATGTTAATTGTTGGAGTTATCCTTCCTGGCTGAGGATCGGATATCCTTAAAAGGCTTCTCAAAGTTTGTATGTGCAATATATACAAATTATTATTTATCAGTTTGTATTTGAATTTTGAGCTAAAGACCCAGCAAACTTTTTATTTGCATTAAGTATTCTCACAACTGAACAAAATGACATTCACTATGTTTATTATAACTGATGACTTGGTTTATCCGGTGATTGACAGTTGTAATTTTTACGTTGACAATGGATTGCTTGGATTGATTGATTGATTGTATACTGTTTAACGTCCCTCTCCAGAATATTTCACTGATATGGAGACGTCACCATTGCCGGTGAAGGGCTGCAAATTTAGGCCTATGCTCGGCACTCAGGGCCATTGAGCAGGGAGGGATCTTTATCGTGCCACACCTGCTGTGACACGGGGCCTCGGTTTATACGGTCTCATCCGAAGGACCGCCCCATTTAGTCGCCTTTTACGACAAGCAAGGGGGTACTGAGGACCTATTCTAACCCGGATCCCCACAGGAATGGATTGCTTGGAATAAGCATTGTTTATTTTTTAACGAAATCAAAAATTGTTAGAAATTTAAAACGCTTTTATGAAAAGAAATCCCTTGAATCCTCGTTCACAAAATGTTTCATCAAAAGTTCAACCTGACTGTGCATATGAGATTTTCTTTTACAATGTACCATAATTTATATAACAATACAGTATTAAATCATTTTTTTCAAGATAAGCTCAGTTTAAAAACAAAATCTGCATTTGGATTTCAACAGAATATTTAAATTTACTTGCTGTTACTTACATGTATCAACTTATATAGTGCCTTTAATGAACATTACATTGTACTTATTTCAAAATTAGACATTGATTCTGCCAAAGAAGTATTTCTTTTTTTTTTTTTGGATCATCGTTGGTTTGTTAAGCACTTAAATTCTTATACATTTATCTCAAACATGGAAGTCAGCACATGTACAGGAAATAAACTGAAAGGAGAGTCAAAATTGATATTCAAAAAAAAAAAACCCAGTTGACTCGTTTTCGCAGTCAAAATGCGTTTTGTCGACCCTTCCATCCAAATAATTTGCCTCGGTTGCAAGGACTCGGGGAAATAACTTGGCGCTGACAAAACGCATAATGCCTTCCAACCCAGTAAATAAACATATATTTCTCAACAGTGTTCAAAAATACAGATTACACTTGTAAGTTAAAAATATTCTCAAATCTCAAAACATATCATCCAAATTTTAAACAAAAATATTTTTTTACTACATGTATATCCAATATTTATCATAATTAAGCACGCTTAACCAATCCCTGATTCGCAGCTACTACGATTATTTGAAGCATCATTTTCATTTTCAAGTATTGTAGTCTTTTTTGTAATTTGGCCTCTTTTTTTCTTGCTGTCCATTATATACTAAAGTCTTGATATTGGATTTTATTAATATTGATAATTTTGTAATATAGTAAATATCAATTTAATTTTCTTAAGAGTGCGATGCCGGATTTTACGGAGAAAATTGTGTGCAAGCTTGTAGTAGTCATTGTAGAAACATGACATGTGCTAAAGACAATGGCAAGTGTTTGGACGGTTGTGAGCCATCATATTATGGAGTAAAATGTGATCAAGGTAACAAAAATATGTCTTTCAATCGTTTCGTTTTAAGTACATTCTTGTAAAATTTAATTAGGTAACACAAATGTATATTTAAAATTTAATGCAAATTTTCAAATTTGATGTGTTTTTTGTAGAAGGAGATACATGTACAGTAGTGTCATATGCTAAGGAGTATCACATAATGGGTAGTATTCTGGGAGTTTACACCGTCATTACATGTGTCATTTTTGCTTTATGTATTCTCAGGTACTTTCAATTCTGTTTCAATTACTTACGACGTTTTTAGTCCATATTTATTTTGTACTTGCAGTAAATAAAATATAAAGCGGTAAGGAAACTGCTGGGCTTAATGTCAAAACAAAACTTTAACAGCTTCGCAGTGACGTGTTATAAAATTTTATATTTTCAAATGATATGTCAAAATAACAAAGAGTGCGACAGAGAGGTACTCAACAATTTATCAGTGTACCCCCTTTCCTTTTCACTTTTCAGTTTTTTTTTTGTGTCGATATAATTCAGCATATAAAATTTACATATTTTCCCAGTCTATTATACAAATACTTTCAAATTGCTATTTCGTATAATTTATTTTGTTAATTCTTATACATTGCGCATATGGTACATGCTGCGACAGTTTTAAGTTGATAAAAAATAGAAAGGGACTTTCCTTTCGCCTAGTGCTTAGTACTTTAAAGTGAAAGTTGTGTACCCTTACGACGAGACCTTTAAAAGATAGGTAGGCGTTTGTCTGGTCTAAATTTGAAGTTTTCCGCCGGTACATGTATATGATGACGTCTATGTTTGAAAAAAAAATATCGAAGTGGTCTTAAACAACTTACAATCAATATAGATATCATTTTACATAGAACAATTTTGCTTATTTTAAAAATAAACACTTCATATTGTTAAAAATCTACAACTATACAATCATTTGATTAATTTATTTTCCAGTAACAGGTGCTTGTATTTATGTGAATAATAACCAGTGGAATAAAAAAAAAAACACGACAAAAAATCAATTGAAAAAAAAATTCTTAAAAAAGAAAAAGAATAAAAAAAAAATAATAAAATCTATGGGCGGCGGATAGGGTAAAAATAGACGTTAATGCATCACTAACAATTAATTTTAAAAACATACTAAAATACAAAACAAACCACCTTAAAACAAAATCAACAAACTCATTTGCAAATGGCAAGCAAAAATTAGACATTTCTCGAATAAACGCCAGATGGCGCGAATGTTTTTCTACAGCATCATTATATGTGTACTTTCATCATTGTCAATCACCATCCATTGGCAAACTTTGGATAATAGCATCATGTCGGGCCCTCAAATTTCAAACAGCAGCAGGACTTCTACAAACGGCTGTAAATTTATTTCAAGAAACCAAGTCAAAATTTTCCCTGAATATTTTATTTTTCCTTTTGAAAGAAAAAAAGTCTTTGGGGCAGCCCCCCCCCCCTTTAATTTTTTTTATTTTCAAAACTGGGGTCGACACACCTTTTTCCTATTTTGGTAGTCTAATATGCACTACTTGGTATCGATAATGTAACTCTTTTGTTACATAAGCCGTTTTTAAATTTATCGTTTTCGACTGATACACTTTGCGATTTTATGTATATAGGTGTAGCACGTTTTTTAAAACATAATTTTTCTCGCCTGATCATGTCAGAATCTTTAGTAAAGCAACTTTTAGAGTGTATTTATTGTAGATACAATTTTTAAAAAAAATATTTTACATTTATCAATCCGGAAGACAAGCCCCTATAATGTGGAGTGGGATGGAACCCCGGAAAACATTCCCGGATCCGCGCCAGTATTGATATGAATTGCGTAATACAGAAATATAAAATTACAATCTGAAAATACTTATGTCTGATACATTTTTAATTCGTGCACGAGCTATTTACGCCAAATTCAAATGGGGAGTGGTTTATGGGCAAATAAATTGTTGAAAACCGTAAAAGAATCTTACACTGCAGGGCTACCAGGATAAAACTAAATTGTACCCCTGTACATGGTGTAGTGGCATCTTTACCATGATATTGTATTGTTTAATAACAAGAACTATACAGTTCATGGTATGGGTGGTATACTTTACATTTTAAATACTCAAGCCACAGGGACTTAGTACAATCTGAGGACAAAATTTGTATATAGTATAATAGGGGATTCCCTATTATATATTCCGATATATGATTCCGATTCACATAATATATATTATATTATCTATTTTCCTATATAGATGCTAGTAGACAATTTCGAGGGATTTTTGTTCCTATGTTCGTATAATGATGTCGTAGCAAAACTTGCACGCCATCTAGCGAAAATTCAGGTAAATTCTGTTTTAGCACGCCATCTTGCGTCAGTTCAGTGAATTACTGTTGTTTTTGCATCAGTAATCGGAGTCTGTTAATTTTGTAAAGGACTCTGTTGATTTTGTTTTTCAGTATGTTTTTAAAATTAGTTGTTAGTTTTGCATAAACGTCTTTTTTACCCTTTCCGCCGCCTATATTATTCTCCTTATATGGTTAACATTTGTTTATTTCCTTTCAGGAGACATAGAAAGACAAAGGAAATCGTTTCAAAACAAATTGAAGAAAAAGATAAGGAAAAATCGTATGAAACGATGCAAATAGACAGAGTTTTGTATCAAGAATTAGGTTCATTCGAAAACAAGGGTATATATCAGGAATTACATGTAGAGGGAAACGCTTATCAAAATCTTGATTTGATAACAAACTTTTGATATGATAATGTTGATGTCGAAATATTTAAGCCATATTTAGGCTGAATATTTAATGTATTTATATGAATGAGATTTAAGAGGATGTCGGTTTCCCTAGCAACCACTAGTGATTTTTTTGTAATTCAAATCAATCTATTTGCGTCCACGCAGTACAGTTTTAATCCTTGACAAATGAGACTTTTAACGTTCCAATTGATGGACTTAAAATCTGAAAATATGTGTGACTGGACATTTAAAATATAGGAGGCTCTTAGTATTTATCATGAACCTGGCTTAATTTTTTTCTATATTTTGATTTAAAAATAAGCTTTATAAAACTTTATTAAATTTAAGTAAAATTATTATTAAAGGAGATGGGCGTACATAGCTTGCAGAAAGCCTATGGCTTCTGATACAGTACCGACCAGACCCAACCTGACACCCAAGCAGTCCATGAAAGCAGTCCCCGGGACTGCTCTGGGACCGCTATGGGACTTCTCTGAAAAGCAGACCCAGCAGTCCCAGCTGTCCCTGGGACTGCTTTCTGGTAATGCTTTGTTCACTCATGTGTGAAAAAAGGTTCTGAGTGACATGATAGCTCCGCCCCTTGTGTGTTCTGAATTTGCAAGCCCCCTGTTGTTTTGTTTACTTGCAGCAGAGATGAGTTTAAACTTTTAAAAAGCAAGGATTTCTTACAATATTTTAATAAGTGGAAATCATTAAAGTTGATTAATATTTACTAAAAGTGTATATTTACACAAATGTAGTTTAGAATATTTTTTTTAAAAAATAAAGTTGTTAAATAAGGAAGTCAGGAGAAGATTAATTTGTTTCCCCTAAATGTAATGTAAGGTATATGAGAAAAAAAAAATTCTACATGTAGGCCTTTTTATTGCACGGGGTATTTAATGTAAATTAAATACTAAAAATTAGCATTGGTACTATCTAAAAATAATTATTACAGTTAGAATAAGATCTATAATTGAAAAAGGTAAATGTTTTTAACCCTCAAACATAAAACCTCACACTTTATTAAATGACCATGAAATAAAATTGATAAATTAATGCTTCCATTAATTCTTCCGTAACCATAGACAATGTGGATAATCAAGGGGGAATTATTAATGAATTACCGGTAGTTTCTGATTTATAAACAAGTTATTAAAAGAGTACATTAGTTTTGAAAATAAAATAGTTGAAATACCGGGAATTGTGATTTATTTCTTTGTTTTGCTTCTGTTTACTTGGCCGATTAGTGTGTATAGAAATGGTATCAACACTCGAGGTTTCAAAGGCCTTTGGGAAGAAAATCAGTGCATGTTTTTTGGGTATACATATCAGCGTTTCACATCACTGAACATGCTGATGAACAATGACCTTAATTTCAACCTATGTAAAGCAAATATAAAATTGATAAATGAAATGTGTATGAATTTCTTTCAGGATTAATAAATTTGGAACATAATTTGAGGGTTCCATTCTGGTGATTACAGATGTACACTCAAACATTTACAAATAAAGCACTTAAAACTTAAAGCACAATATTATAGAAACAGAGAAATTTAAAATAATTAAATTTACATGTCAGTAAAAATAATCATGAATGACAAATAATACTTTGCAAAATTAACAAAGAATTTTTTAAAATCCCCAATACTTAAGAAAATTTATTAGAGTGTCCCGATAGTATGGAAATTGGCCATATAACGATAAAATCTTTTCAAAGCAAATTCTGGTGGAAAATAATTAATTCACGTTTAATTTTCTGTACCAAAATTAAATATGGGAAACAGTATCAATCACAAAAAATAAAGAAATCGAATTATTGATATACCAGATAATTGTGATTAATTTTAATTAATAAATAATGAATTTTAATTTTAAATAATTTTAATTTAGGACTGCTCTGGTAAAATATTTATGTTCAGTTTAATTTCATACAAGTATGTGTGAAAGCCTTCTTCCTTCAATTAATAATATTTCAATTTTGTTTCTATGCGTGTACTGTTCACAAATGACCTTCACACATATGTAAGGATTCCAGGCATACTACACAGAATACATTTCTACAGCCTTTTATAGTTCCATTGTTTATTGGAATTCTCATTTCTGAGTTAGCTCCGCTCATTAAATAAATAAACCCCGCCCTCTGGGACTGCTGGGACTGCTCTCTTGGACTGCTGGGACCGCTGTTGGACTGCTTTGTGTCCATTTGGGTCTGGTGACTCTGGCTTTGGTTGGTACTGTATATATAAAGTAATGTTTAAATTGTTAAGATATTTGTATATAGAGTTAAGTTTTGAACGCAAATCTTATTCTTTTATTCCCAAAATAATGTGGTATTCGTGGGGCTCGAACCCGTGCAAAATAAAACCTATGTATCATTTACTTTTGATACTAGCACTAACAACTTACTGTATCTACAGAAATCTTAATGAAAAGTGCCATTTAAATCATGTTTGTGATACCACTCTTTACTCTTGACATTGAGAATTTCACGAATAGCTAATATATGAATGATTTTCATAAGCGTATATTCTTTAGGATATTCTTAAAGTAAATCGTGTCTTTTCTTCATATTTTTGGTAACCAAAGTATGCGTATTTTTTATGCAATCTTTGAAGATAAGTATTTTAACAAAATTGAGCGGAGACCATTTTGCTCTTTGTAGTATGTGTTTAACATTCGTCTGCAAACATTATCAATCTCAGAGATTTTTGCAAATTGTAGAATTTGTAGAATTTACATCATGTATAATTGAATGTTAGATTATATACTCAACGTCAATGGAAACGCAACACCTTAATTTTAGGATGAAAATTATATACAGGTTATACCTAAGTACCAAAAAAGTTAGGACATCTTTTACTTTGCCAAACCAGTTATTTAACGGTTGAATGAATTTCTTTCCATTACCGGAAGTTGCTTTTAAGCCCTCTTAACAGTATTCAAAATTTTCCATTTTTGATAAAATTTTAACAATATTTTGGGTTTCCAAGGTTTTGAAACTGTTAATCATAAGTATTTTACTAAAAGGCCGGGGAAAAATCCTTCTTTCTTTACCGGATGTGATGCCTATATTTCCTCAAAATGACTGATAGCAAGAAGGGGGGATGTTTTAAGAGTTATGTGTTACCTTCTAAAATTTAATGAAAACATTAAAAATGAATATATTTAGGTGAAAAGTTAATTTACAAAAAATTAATGCTCCATTTAAACATTAAATGTTATTTTTAGACCTTAGAAAGAAACAAATACCCAGTAAATCTTAAAACATTCCCCCTTCCGACCATTTAATGAAAACGTGCTAGTCCGCCATATACAACAAATGCAGCCCGATTTATACCATGAATTAAGTTTATTTATGTCTTAATCTGAGCGAAATTAATATTCTTGGGCATTTTTAAATACATGATTTTCAGATATTGCGGTCGAATTTTCTCTAACCTGGCGTAGTGTAGCAACTTTTGGACTTCCGGTCAAGAAACTGTCATTTATGCTATTGAAACACATGAGCCTGATGACTCGTTATATAGTGGACATTTGCATCTGCAGCTTTTTTTTTCTTTATTTTGAGAATTTCCAGCATTAGCAATGAAAATCAGTCATTTTGAGGAAATACAGGCATCACATCCGGTAAAGAAAGAAGGATTTTTTCCTGGCCTTTTAGTAAAATACTTATGATTAACAGTTTCAAAACCTTGGAAACCCAAAATATTGTTTAAAATTTCATTAAAAATGGAAAATTTTAAATTTTGTTAAGAGGGCTAAAAAGCAACTTCCGGTAATGGAGAGAAATTCATTCAACCGTTAAATAACTGATTTGGCAAAGTAAAAGATGTCCTAACTTTTTTGGTACATAGTTATAACCTGTATTTAATTTTCACCCTAAAATTAGGGTGTTGCGTTTCTATTGACGCTGAGTATATATCAAGGAAAAAATTATAAAATTGAGAATTAATTTTCCACCATTATGATAGGTACGCTAAAGAATTTTCGCTCGTAATGTTTATCCATTTCAGTTGTAAAAAGTTCTTGCATCTTTCGTACATAATTAAAAAGTCGATTACGAAAAGGTGAAATATGAATACAATTATATAAAAGGAATATGTTGTATAATGTGTTAAAGTTACCGGAATGTACAACACATACCTTCCGGTTAAAACTCTCTATTCAATACGTATACATGTGTGGTCAGCGCGTATTCTTTATTTCATTTGATTTTATAAAAAAAAAAAGTCAAAAAAAAAATTGTGTAGATGGGTTTTGGCAAGTTTAAGAAGGATTTAAAGCGTAAAGAATTTTGATTAAAGTAATCTCATATGTTGAAGTGTAATTTTTGCAGCATTTTAATATTAGATTTCCATGGGATGCCAGTACTACTTCGAAACCAACAAAATTGTACTTTACCTTAACGATTCAAATTCATATTACTTATTTATTTATTTATCCAAAAATGTATGGTTGATCAATGTTTATATTTTGTATATATTGTAAGTAAGACAACCAGGAAAAAAAGTAAATACCTGACTAAATACCTGACTATTGTCTCTAGTAATAATCTGTTTGTTTTTTCCATATTTTATTTTGATGCAAATTATGTAAGTTGTTTTTTCTGTAAAAAGCCTATAGTAAACATTATTCTATCAATAATAAATGCAATTTTTGGGCTTATTTACTTGCTTCTTATAACGTCTTCTTTCAAGATTTTTTATGAACTCATATAAGTATGCCAGCATTTTCCGATAGAGGACTGCAAATTTAGACTTTACTCAGGCACTGATACATGTAATTGCCATTGAGCAGTGAGGGATTTTTTTCTGCCAGCACCTACTACGACACGGGACTTCGTTTTATACGGTCTCATCCAAAGGACTGGTCTCCATGTCCTGCAATGAAATGAAAGGATCACCTTCCTATGCCCTGCGACTCGAGAACAAGCCCTCTAGATCT